ATCATTCAATAATTTGCCCAGAGAATCTTTCAATAACGAAAGTCGAGGCTTGAATTTTTTCTTCAGTTCCCCCAGCTTGAGAAATGCTGATCATGTTCTTGCCTTTTGATTTTCTAACTCTAAATCTTTGCATATTTTATTATAGTATTTGGCTTTATCTTCTCGAGCTGACCTTTGAAATTTTCTGTTCGGCTCTTGGACCTCTTCAATTTTTCCATTTGCTTTAGCAGTAGTTGATTATCAAGGAGCGGGAACAACCTGGGGTGATGGTATTGTTGTTAAGTGCTGTTGAGTCGGTTCCGACCCATAGTGACCCTGTATAGGGTTTCCAAGGAGCGGCTGGTGAGCTTGAGCCACCAACCTTGTGATTCAAACCAACCTTGTAGTCCAGTGCATTAACCCACAGCACCACACCAGGACTCCTGGGTTAGCGGGGAGTAAAGGTACACAAAGGTCCAGTCTGAGCTTGGAGAGGTAAGGGCCAAAAGATGAAGCTAAAGGGGCCAGTGTGGAGGGAAATCTTGAAAGAGTGGGGCCTGTGGACTTTACTTTATTGACACTCACAGGGGGGCTTGGGCGTGTGGCTCCAGCACAGTTCATGGTTACAGGTGATCCAGAGTCCTGCGTAGAGCTCAAGGCCATTCTTGGTGACCAGGAACTGTACCCAGTTGAGTGGGGACATGCAGATCAGGACTAGGAGGCCAAAGCCACAGAGGCTGCCACTGAACATTCGGATGTAGGTGTATGTCTGATCCACATGCTGCTGCCGCCTCTGGGATGGCATCGAGGCACTCGGATGTTTGTTGTTGGGGAGGATTGGCTACAAGGATGAGGGAAATATTGCCTACCCAAAAAGATAACACCTTCACCCCAGGGTTTCAGACTTTTCTCTACCTCCTTTCTCCACATGGGTTTGATTTATGGTTATCTTTCCCTACTCCTTATACAAAACAAAAATTTCAAGGTCATCTTTTTCATCCATCCTAGGAGACTGACTGTCTAGCCCCTCCTTTAAATGAGTTCTCTTCCTCCCATCTGACCTACAATTAGATACCTCCTCACCCTTTGGTAGTTCCGATTCCCCTTTGTTTTGAGAATTTCAGGATTGTAGAAGGTCAAGGTTAAATGGTCCCTCCTCTCCATCTTGGCAGCCAGTTCACTTTCTAACTGTCACGGAATTTGTCTCAGCACTTCCTCACTCAGGATGACAGCACCCAAAGTGGCAGAACCCATCACATGACACAGGTCCATTTCTGTTTCTTATTCCAGATCTGGTCAGATCAGGAAGAAATTACCACATTTTCAATATGTGTATATGTGTGATGCTTCCCACTCGTACTTTTCTGAAACCACCTGGCTCTTTATCAAATAGATCCAAAACGATTCTGTCAGCAGTTGCTGTGTGTCCTGCCCTGTGTTAGATCCTGGAACTAAAGATGAGTAAGACATAGTTTCTGCACTGCACACAAAAAATGTAACTCAGATATACTCAGGACCCAATAGCTTGTGGTTGTAACTGAAGCCATATATGTTTCAGTAAATCTGAGTCATGCCCCCCGGTGTGTCTCAGCAAGCTCATGAACAAGTCTGAAACCCATAGTCCTCCATGTTCATCCATTCTTTTCTTCCTTTCTTGCTCTGGTTCCCTTTTCTCAGTACCCTCTGTTCAAGAAGCCATGTGAGGATGCTATGCCACTGCCACTGTTGACAGGGCCCCTCTGTGAAAATCCCAGTATCCATAGGTCACAGGGATTCCAGCAATGTGCTGAAAGCTGCCACTCTCCAAAATACTGCAGTATCTTTAGGTTCTCAAGCAAGTCACTTTACCTCTCTGAGCTTGGTTTTATTTTTCAATAGTAAGAAGAACATTTGGTCTGCATCAAGTCTTGTCAACTCATGGGTACAGAAGGCAAGTTTCTAACCTAAGTGAGGCGAGTGGGTCAGTGTAGCAAACCAGGCAGTAACAGGACTGTGGAGTAATGGGACAGAAGCCACCTACCCTACTCCAACCTTCTGGTGCTCTGTGTAGCCTGATCCATAAGAGTCACAACTTTCGCTTTTTCATGAGAAACAGGAGATCTAGACTTTTAAGTCAAATACCGAGTTTTGAACTATTAACAGTGGATCCTAACCTTAAAATTGTGTGTAAAACTAATGATGTTACCAGTTGTGTTTCTTCACCTCTCTCTTTTTTTCTCTACCTTTTATTGTGAGTTGAATGAAGGTTTACTGAGCAGATTGTTAAGTTTTACATTCAACGAATCATATACTTTGCTTCATTATGATAGTCCATCCCCTCCATGTACCAATGTAGTCTGTTGTTGTTAAGTACTGTCGAGTTGGTTTCGACTCGTAGCAACCCTCAATAAGATTTCTGAGGAGCACCTGGTGAATTTGAACCTATGACCTTGCAATTCAAACTGAGCTTGCAGTCCAGTGCATTATCCTGCAGTGGTACACCATGTACCAATTGTTGTTGTTGTTGTAAAGTGCCATCAAGTTGATTCCAACCCATAGCGACCCTGAATAGGGTTTCCGAGGAGAAGCTGGTGAACTTGAACTGCCTACCTCGCAGTTCAAATACCTTTGCAGTCTAGCACATTAACCCACAGCGCCACACCAGGACTCCAATAGTTAACAGTATTTACCTCCATTCATTTTATTGCATTCCTCCCTGTGTCTCCTGCTATCTTCATCTTTCCCCATACCCCTGGTGTGTCTCAGTAAGCTCATGAACACATCTGAAAGCCATAGTTCTCCATGTTCCTCCATTCTATTCTTCCTTTCTTGCTCTGGTTCCCTTTTCTCAGTACCCTCCCATTGTATATTGCCTGCCCTGTCACCCATGCTACCCTTTAGCCCATGAATAATTTTCTCTCCCACATACCCTATAACTACCATAGATTGTTTCTTGTAGCAAAACAATCTTTTTGTGACTTTTTACATTGGTCTTATACAATATTTGCCCTTTGGTGATTGACTAATTTCATTCAGCGTAATGTCCTCCAGGTTCAACCATGTTGTGAGGTGTTTCACAGATTCATCCTGATTCTTCAACATTTTGTAGTATTGCATTGTGTGTATGTACCAAAGTTTGTATATCCATTGTTGATGACATTTAGGTTGTTTCTATCTTTTTGATATGTCTCTTGTAGACAGCATATTGAAGGATTCTGTTTTCTAATCCAATCTGCTCTCTGTGTCTCTTGATTGGTGCATTTAATCCATTTACATTCAGTGCAGTTATTAACAGGTATAAATTGATAGCTGTCACTTTTTTGTGTGTTTTTAGTTATACTGCTGGTTTCTTTATTCCACATAATTTTCTATGATGAGTCCATTTTATTTGTGGTTTTCTTTTCATTTGCATTTCTCTTGTGTTTCTTTCTTAAAGTCTTTTTTTTTTTTTCCAAATAGTTCTCTCAGCTTCTGGTCCTAACTCTCCTCACAAGAGCTCAAAGCCAATGCAAGATGCTGGACAGATAGTCTTCCTGTTCCATAGCATGAACATTGATCCCAATAAATGCCCAGTCAGGTTACCAGCTCTCTCTGTTTCTTTTTAAAATGAAAACCAGATACACTTAGATTCTGAAGTTTGGACTAACCCAGGTTACCCCAGCACACGGTTTATTTTAGCACACCCAACCACCCTGACCTGTTAATGCCCACTCTTGATTTCAGTGGCTGGAAACTACTAGAGTATCTAGTATATGTCCATACTTTAGCATGTGCTCCTCCTTCTGTTAAAGTTTTATTTGACTGTGTGTCTTCCAGGGACCAGTCCCTGGAGAAGAATATCATGCTGGTTAAAGTAGAAGTTTAGCACAAAAGAAGAAGACCCCCAACAAGATGGATTGGCACACGGGCAGCAGTAGTGTGCCAATCAAGCTTAACAATGATTGTGAGGATGGCGCAGGACCAGGCATTGTTTCATTCTGTCGTGCATAGGGTCTCTGTGAGTCAGGATAGACTCAATGGCACCTAGTTACATAACAACTTACAGTACCTGTCAAGAATAATAAATGAATGAGTAAGTCAGATATTTTTATACAAAGAACAGCGTTTGATACAGAGCACAGATGGTTAACACTATCAGAGGGAAATCAGGAAATGTTTACTAGAAGATATGAGGTAAATTTGGCAGGCAATCAGGGTGGGGAAGGTTGATTGAAGCAACGAGAGAAGAGTCTTTTCCAAGGCAGGAATCCATGAACAGCATGAAGTTGTCAAACACTAGAAGCAGTGTAGTTCTACTAAGTGTAAAAGAAAAGTTAAGGAATGGAGGTTAGAGACACAGGTAAGAGTTAGATCACAATGAGTCTTTCAATTACATTTACATTGTGGAGTGTCAGTTGTTGGATTATCTAGCCCTTTTGGCATGACTACACAAAAGATCTTGCCATCTACAACAAAGAATCTCAGACAGTATGACTTTTAGTTACACATGTATGGCTAGAGGACTAGATGTAGACTTTGAGTTGGCAGGCCTAGTTTAATGTTGGTTCCAACACTT